GCGCAAACCCCTCGGGCTGCCCCAGCAGCCCTGGGACCAGACCCTGTGAGTGTCTTCCCAACCTGCCACACACACACACACACACACACACACACCCCTTCAATGGCACGTGACTCCAACAGCAACCCCCCCCTCTTTTTGCCCCCTATGGCCATCCTCCGTGGGACGTCGCCCAGCACTGGGACACAGGCTTGATGGGTGGTGGTGGGAGACAGACGCTGCCTCTGGGGTCCTCTCCACTGATCCTCAGGGTGGCCCTACCCACGAGCCCTAGGCCGCCCTGGCCTGCTTCAGCCAGGTGTGTGCTGAGCACACCGGGGGTGTGGTGGGCACCGCTCCCTTGGCCTGTGCCCCCGCCTCGTCGCTGCCGCCGCCGCCGCAGGGATCTGAGCCTACCTAGTTTTTGCATGCATGCACGGAGCCTCTCCTCAAGACTGGCCACTCTGCTCTGCAGCTCATCGTAGTCATAGACGCCAAGCTCCTCCTGCAGCTCGTTAAGCACTGACGTCAGATTCCGGGCCTCCTCTTTAAACTGCAATACCAATTTGGCATCGGCCTTGTACTCTTCCAACACGGGTATCAAAGGCCTAAGTTCATCCATTTTCGCTTTTATCGCCTGCAAGGTTAAAATAAGCTGGGTTCAGTGCGATGCGTGCAAAAACTCGTCACACCCCGCCTGGGCCTGGCTCGTCCCTCCGTGCGGGCCCCACACCCTGGGCCTGCTCCCGACAGGCTCACTGATTCTGGCCCGTGAGTTGGAAGAGCACATTAACCAGTCTTCAGAACACCGGCTTATTTGGGAAAGGTCTTTATTGTCAGTTCAGAATGCAACATCTGAAGGGTACATGCTTTCGGCCACATACACAAAGTTCTTTCTTTTTCTTTCTCTCTTTTTTTTTTTTGTTCTTTTTCAAAAAATGCATTGACGAGGGTTCAAACTATTCATGGAATGCACCTACAGTCGCATGCAAGGAGGGTCCTGGTTGTGCTCGCGGCTCCTTAGTGATAAGGTGCCGTGGGAAGAATAATAAAAATGCATGTTGCAAAAAGGTCTCTGGCTCTCTCTCATGGTTACAGGGGACTGAGCTGCTCCTCCAGTCACTGCAGCAATGAAAAAAGTCCCTTAAGTTAGCCCTGCAAGCAAGAAAACAGAACACTGTTGAAAGACTAGCTCCCTACCCTGCCTGGGACAGACAGCCGGTCACAGACAAGTCTGCTCGCGGTCATGTCCAAACAACAGCCCAAGCACA